AGTCTCTCACCAGGAAGAAGGGCATCCAATGCTATTTCTGATCCTGGAAAGTGAGGCGGGCCAATGTGTTGCCATGGCAACCTGCGAGCCCCTCCCCCAGGCTGAGCCCCTCCCCCAGGCTCGGGCTGTGGGCGGTGGAGGGGCCTGGCCTGGCGACTTCAGGAGATGGGATGAGGCAGCCCCTCCGAGAGCCTTCTTTCCTGTGGATGGGGCTGGACTGGCCCGAGGGTGGGGGGCAGAGGGCATCGGGATGGACACCCCACATCTCCAGGGCAGACGGTCCTGCTGTGTCCTCAGAACGCAGCTCTGCAAGTCCCTGGCCACCGGCCTGCTCCCCGGGCCCCGGGGAGACTCTGGGCCTCGCCGTGGATCTAGGGTCAGAGCAAGCCTGAAAGGGGGGAGAACAACAGCCAACAAAAGTGCAGCCCGGCCGGCGTGGCTCAGTGGTGAGCATCATTCTATGCACCAAGGGGGCCCAATTCCCAGCCAGGGCACATGCCCAGGGTTTGGGGCTCAACCCCCAGTAGGGGGCGTGCAGGGGGCAGCCAATGTTTCTACCGCTCCCTCTCCCTTCTCTCTCTCAAAATCAATAAAACATTAAAAAAATGTTCTTAATCTAGATTAAAACAATCTTGGAATCTGAAGAAATCTGGAAAAAAAAAAAACCAGCAGAGGAGTCTGGAAGGGCTCCCTGCAGCCACCCTCGCGATGGCGGGAACTCAGCCTGCCTCCCCGAGGGCCCCCGTCTGTGGTCCGGGGTCCGCCGCCCTCAGCCCAGCCGCTCAGATGGGGGGGTTCGGGTCTGTGGAGGGCGGGCGTTCCCGGTCGGAGCACAGCCCAGGCAAAGGCCGGCCTCTGGGAAGGCCCAGACGAGTCCTGTGCTGCTGTCCTCTCTGGGTCCTGAGGGGAAACCGAGGCCCGAGGAGGAAGGGAGCCCTGTTGGTCTCCAGCTCCGCACCCAGCACTCTGTGTTTCCCGCCCAGACCGAGCCTGGGCCCCCCCCCCACCCCCCGGTCCTGGAGCTCCTGGCCAGGGGGCACCGTTCCATGGAGGCAGCACCCTCTAAAGAGCTGCCCCCCTCTTCCCTGGCCCCCACCTGACCCTCAGGCAGACAGCCAGGGTGCAGAGCCCCGTCCTGCGGGCCCTGCAGGGGGTGAGGGTGCAAGTCCCTCCCGATCTAGGCTGTGGGGGCAGAACCCAGGAGCGCCGGGAGGACATGGCTTCCGAGCCCCGAGGCAGGAGGCATGGGGGGTATGGCCTCCGTGGAGCGGCACCAGGGAAACATGGACGGTTAAGCAACCATCCCTGCCAGCCACGGTGCAGTGACCCCTCTGCGGTGATGTTGCAGCTTATAAATAGCCACAGTGAGCCGCTCTGAGCCCCGACTGGCTCAAGCTTACGTAACTGCG